AGCATTGAAATCTAATCTGACGAGCATGCAACTCTGGTGACGCCGTCAGGGTGCTCTATCGGTGCTATCGTTCAGCTTGGAAAGCACTTACTGAACTTTAAATTAAATTAATGTACGTAGAGTTTATGCCTCCTGTGCCTGCATAACAAAAGCTTGAAGTGCCTGACAATTTTATTTGCTCCGATCACCCCTTTTTATATTTAAGTCTAGTCCTCGGGAGACGGCATGTGAGTGCTTTTGGACTCGCCGCCCGTTGCAGCATAAAACAAAACCCCGTTTGTGTGGGTCCAACTTCCAAGTTTCCCGTCTCTACTGGAAATGCGAAACGTGCATTTCCAGACCGTTCGATAGAAGAAAGGTGACACACTAAAAACTGGAACTAACAGAGAATAAATATGTAGGCAGAAGATCATCACCAACAACACAAAGCAGTCTCCCTTACCTCTGTCGGTAATGCTCTTTTGTCTATAATACTAGCCGCCGTGCGGATACTGACGGGGCTCTAGAGTGAGCTCCAAGGCATTACTGGACGAGTGAGTCCTTGAACTGATCGGTGAACGTCCATGCATTAATACATTTTTCTCAACTGCCTTACCATATCTTGAAACCGATACGACACTGCCTTGTGGGTTGACGATTAAGCATACAGATGTGAACAGAAATAGCTTGCCGACCGTTACAGTAGGTCCAGTCGCAGCCGTTGATGTACGTGACCACTGTCATCTATAAAATGTGGCGTGTATTTGGGTTCAAAGTAGAGATAAAAGGTATGGACTAAACTGTTCTAATACAATACTTAATAAACCTTTCCTGAAATTGTACAAATAGCCAAAGTTGGCTTTATTTACTTCGAAGTCCGCCGGAAATGTGAGTCCACTTAATTAGTATTCTACAGACGTGAAGGCCGATGTAGAATCCGCGAGGAGAAAAGAAAGGCGACATTATTTGAATCCTTGGGCACGGGCAGTTCGAATGTGACCAAGGATGATGTGCCCTCGCAGGTAGGGTGTATATTGGTTGTCCCTTCCCTGATGACGGTCTCCAGCCTCACCCTCCCCTGTAGACAGTTATGAGCAACAGTTGCCCTTCGAGCGAGGGCCCACGGAGTATTCCCTCTTCCCGGTGATAGCTTCCAGCCCCACCTTCCCAGGACTGTCGTGGCAAAGCTTGTGTATGATTGTTATTGTTTTCTACATCATAAATAAACCTTTGTGTACTATAGAATATTCCAACTCTGCAACTTTTTGGATGACTATAAGGGTTGGCAAGACTCCTAGTGAATTTCAGCGTGGATGCTATCAGACGACAGTGGATACAGACGAACAACTGAGTGCCGGCCCTTATCAGAAGTAAGCTACGCTATCCAAGAACCCCAGTGCGCCCGAGCGTTACAACGAAACACTCAAAACGTCATTATCAAATTAATGCTGATGTCAGGTATCATTTCAGTTACGCAAACCAACTTACAGAAAGGAATTATATGTCAGACGAGAAATAAAGATAAAGGAAACTACATGGGAGCGTTCCGAACGCTCACCGTTATTTGCCAACAATAGTCACACCGAGAAGAATGAAGA